TAATGCCAAGCATGATATTCATGGCTGAAAATTCAATTTTTTGTACATTTTTTTTTTTTTGCTTTGCTTTGTTTTTTTTTTTTTTTTTTTTTTTTGGGTAATACCAAATATGATATTCGAACCCCCCCTTTTTCTTTAACACTAAATATGATATTTGAGCAAAAGTTTTTTTTTTGCTTTGCTTTTTTTTTTTTGTTTTGTTTTTTTTTTGTTTTTGTTTTTTGGTTTTGCTCACTTACTAGGATAATACCAAATATGATATTTGAACCCCCCATTTTTCTTAACACTAAATATGATATTTGAACTCCTTTTTTTCCATGTATGAGGGTAATATCAAATGTGGTACTTGAGAGCCCCCCCCCCTTTTTTTTTTGCTCCAATCCATGTCAATATCTCAACTTTCCTAACTTGTTCTTTTGTAGATACCTCATCTCGTGCCTGAAAAGGAGCTTGAAACAATTTCGGGGATTTGAAGAGAGCCACCGATTAGGTAATTTAATTACCAAGGTCTTGCAAGGATTTCCTTTCGTCACCTAATATTTTCTCTTACATAATTTCAGCAAGCATGCAAATCAAGGACTATGCCACGCCATTGCCCCATATCTCATTGACGGACGAAAGGGGAGGAACTCAATCAAAGAGCTTGTCACTGCATGTTTACAAACCAGCAATCGGCCCGCTCGCTGAATCCTTCATACCTCTCGAAGGATGCTTTCATCTCGAAGATTGGACTAGCAAGTGGACTAAGGAAGTGGTGGCACCGTCGACTTTCTCCACTACGTCGAGGGAAGAAGAAGTGGTTGTGTTAAACTCGTCCCTTCAGAATGGAGATCCAGAAATAGCCAAATTCACGCTTCCGTTCGTGGGATTCAATATTGACAAAACTACATGGAAAATCCCTTCGTCCTTCTTCGGTGAGGCATGCTTCACCTCCCATTGTTGGGAGTGGGTTGAGGACATGCTTGGAAGGTATAAAGACATACTCACACGCGCTGGTATATTTGAAGCCGTCTACGCGTCGAGATACTCCTACGACCACTGCGAAAATGTCTTGCGAGCCTTCTTCAAATATTGGTGTCCCTCGACGAACACACTCCATACGCCCGTCGGGGAGTTGTCCATCACTCTTTGGGACCTCTATCGACTTGGTGGCCTTTCGATCGATGGCACGTTTTTCGATGAAGTTGTTCCTTCGGCGCGAGAGCTCCTTACTCGTGACAAAGAAGGGAAGCCACTTCTTCCCGAGAGTTGCAGGCACCTCTTTTCCGCCTACTACCACCTTTGGACAAATGACCAAGGGGTATGGATGAAGGACTGGATTCGCTTCTGGTTCAAAGGAGAGGCTAGGTATAGGGCTCCTCCGAGTAGAGCGAATAGAAGGAAGACCACATCTAAACCAAAAATGACTTACAACCCTTCTGGAAGCGTAGAGCCTTGCGACCTTGCCGATACGAATGATTTCAACGCCCCTTTTGACACCCTGGGTATCCCAGGGTCTCTAAGAAAGGAAACCTATATTGCGACATTCATAGCATGTTGAATTTGCAAGTTCCTTTTGCCAAGCAAAAAGGTCGATCGTATTCGCCCGAGTGTCTTCAAGGTTGCATGCTTAATGGCCACAGGAAAAAGATTTTGTCTTGCAATTCCCGTCCTTGCGAGCATATATCATGGGTTGAGGGAGATCGTCCACGCCCCTAACCTTGGAGAATGCGGGGTAACTTTTCCAATTCATTACGTCTATGCTTGGATTGGTCAATACTTCGATGTCTATTACGAAAATCATCAAGTGAGTAGCCACCACGCGCGCATGACAAGATTTAGTGGTGAGAAAATGGCAATATTTTATGGCCAATTGGAAGCTGAGGAAATCTTCAAAGAAGTGAACCCTTTGATGCTTCCTAAATTGTGCTGGACCGAGAATGAAGAAAAGGCGTTGATCGATGACGGATCCTTATCATCCAGACTCACGAGTTACTTCATTAGTCAATGCTCTTGCCATTTAACTCTACGTAAGGACAATACTTTCATTATTGAAAAATATAATCCTTGCAGGTTCAGCAGACAATTCGGCTTCTGTCAGGATATCCCCAACAACTTGAAAGAGATCACTCACACGTATACTTTGGGTGAGGCTATTCAACTATGGGATTCCTCAATTCGCACGCAGACACGATCTCGGATGACTATACCCGCGCACAGGAAGCATCCATTGATCACAAAAGACTATGACGCCTGGTGGTCGACTCGGTCAAATAGTGTCTCTTCAACTTCCTTTAAATTCACCGTTAAGATCCCTCAGCAATCATCGAAGAAGGGTAAGACTACCTCCGCTAACGAGTTAGGGCATCATAATGGAGCTATAGAGATTGTAACGGGTCTTGCCTCATCCACCTTGCGAAAGAACAAAATTACTAGCAGTCCCTCGAAAAATATTGTCGCAAGGAATAAGTCTTCCAAGGACTCTCGACAAGCCATCAATGAGGTGCAACCAGTGATTCCAACAGGGCAGACGCCACCCAAAGTTCCAAAATCCTTATCGGCGACTCACACTGAAGAAGATGTCGAAGTTGAAACGGTGGACGATCATGATTCTATCGAGGCTATAGAAAAGGAAGGGACTCAAGTTCAGGGCATCGGATCTACCCAGGGAGGAGCCCATTCGTTGGCGAGCGGTAGTAGTAGTCAAGATCGTCACTGGAACCGATCAAAGAAGACGACATCTTCTGATTTGGAGGAGGTTTCCTTTACACCACCATTGGTTGGAGTGTCGCCACTTAAGGTAATCATCTCTCCATCTTTTTCCCTTTTTGTAAAAAAAATTTTTTTTTCTTTTTTTTTTTAACTTTTTCCTTTTCAGCCCCCGTTTCTTGAATTTCGTCAAGAAGGTGTTGGTATCAATTCATCACCCGAACTCGAAACTGATGATATAATCTCAAACAACAAGAGTGACGAAATAGCTATCAGTACTCCAAGACAATTTGCCCCCAGTGGAGGTACTTCGTCAATGCATAAGAAGGAGCTGACTAGTTCACACGAAATTCGAAAAAGGCCTAAGGTGGCATTGGTTTCAGAATTTCACGGTAAAAAGTTGATCCAGGCACATCGAAGAAAGTACTTGGAAAGTTTGTTGATGGATTTCCGCGGACAGATTCTTGACACTCCAATTGAGCAGATCTCTTCTTTAAAAGAGTGTGCAGAGGAAATCGTTGTAGAAATCACAAGAACGGATCCCGCCATTGGTCTCCCTTTAAAAGACCACTTGATGGAATTATTTACCAAGGCGGAGGCTTATGATGTTCTAGCATCTTCATTGTGGGAAAGGATGAACAAAGAAACACATGCAGAACTCCTTTCCAAAGCGACCGTCCAACTCGAGAAAGTTAAGGCAAATGGAGAAGAATTGACTCGTCATTTGCAAAGTCTTGAAGAAGAGTTGCAATCCATTGAAGCCAGGAAGAAGGTTCTGCAACAGGAACTCATCAGTTTGGAGAAGCAAAGCCTGGAAATCACCTCAACTATCGATCAAAAGCATGAGACCTTCAAAGAGATCCAGGTCGAAATAACCCAAGCGCATGATGAGCTATCTTCCATTGAACAGACCAGCATCTTGACTGATGACGCTGTGAAGGAACTTGAGGACATGAAGTCTGCACTTGAATCATATAAAGTAACTGTAGTGGAATACAAATTTGATGTATAGACTTTCCACCATGTTCTTCTTTTTCCTGAATTCTTTTGCCATTCATCATTTTTTTTCCCATGTAATGAGTTTTTTTTTTCCCAATAATAAAACGCTTTTCATTTCTTATCTCTTTTTTTTTAAAAAGAGAAAAGAACTCAAATGGAGCATTTTATTATGTTTTTTTTTATTTTTTGGAAAGAGGAAATTCTTTTTTTTTTTTTTACAAGGGACAAGGATTTGATTTGGAGTGGTGTAACTGAACTTAGAGGCTGCCCTCCAAGCTGCCTACGTATCCCAACAAGGGAATCAAGTCACACGTAGTTCCTGCCGTTCACATTTTAACCTCATGCGGGTCAGGAGTATCTATTTGTTTACCACCTTAGACTTGGTGGAGTGTTTCAGCAGTTTAACCACATACTACACTACTGGTGGTTGCCATCCACAGTTTTACCTCATGCGGGCCAGGAGCCTTGCGCGGTCCCGATTACGCATAGTATCTTTTTAGATACTTGCCATTGATGGGGCCAACCCTTAACCCGTCTTCAGCAACCAACTTGTATGAGCCATTTGTATACACTTCTCGAACAACATAGGGCCCATCCCACTTAGAAGTAAACTTTTTTTGACCGCCATGAGTGAGAATGATCGGCCTCCGAACGGCGAGTACTAAATCTCCAATCTGGAAAGAGCGTGGCCGGACATGTTTATTAAATGCTTTTGAAAGGCGGGCTTGATAACATTCAATCCGTTGCTGGGTTTCCAATTTCTTTCCGTCGAGTGCTTCTAACTCCTCAAGGCGAAGACGGACATTATCTTCTCCACTGAACCCTTCTTGAATCGCAATTCTTAGCGAAGGTATTTGACACTCAAGTGGAAGAACAGCTTCAACACCATAAACAAGTGCGTATGGGGTCGCTTGCGTGGGAGTTCGAAAAGTAGTCCGGTATGCCCAAAGTGCTTCTCCAATTCGAAGATGCCAATCCCTTCTCGATTTATTCACGACTTTCTTCAACAGATTATATAATGTCTTGTTGAATGCTTCAGCGAGTCCATTTGCAGGAGCGTAGTACATGGACGAATTGTATTGTTTGAAATGAAACTTCTCGCAAAGTTTGTTCATTGCTACATTGCAAAAAGGCTTACCATTATCGGTAATGATATAACGCGGGACTCCATACCGATAAATGATGTGCAAGCGAATGAAATCCACTACATTCTCCTTTTTGACCTCTCTTAGAGGAATCGCTTCAGCCCACTTTGAAAAGTAATCCGTCGCCGCCAAAATAAAAACATGTCCGCTAGAAGACTTTGGAAGTGGTCAAACTATATCCAAACCCCAAGCATCGAACGGCCAAGAAGCCACAGTTGGGTGCAATGGTTCAGGGGGCTGATGGATGAAACTGCCATGAAATTGACATGCTTGACATCTTCTAGCAAAGTCAATGCAATCCTTTACCATTGTTGGCCAGTAGTATCCCATTCTTTTAATACGAAAGTGTAATTTCGGGCCAGACTGGTGAGCACCGCATATCCCAGAGTGAGCCTCCTCCATTGCTTGCATGGCCTCATCTTCTCCAAGACATCGTAGAAACACCCCATCGAATGACCTTCGGTAAAGCGTCCCTTTGTAGTAAATGAAACCTGGTGCTCGACGACGTATATCAACCCTTTTCTTAGGATCTTCTGGTAACTTTCCATGATTAAGATAATCAGTGATGAGGTGACGCCAATCCTCCTTTTCGATCTCATGGACAAAAATATGATAAGTATTTTCTTCTTCACTATCATTACCTTCATCAAACATCGGAGGTATGACCCAATTTTGACATATTGAAATCTGATTTCGATGAGAAGGTAGAGTGATCATGGATGCCACCCTTGCCAAAGAATCAGCTTGTTGGTTGAAATTTTTAGGGATGTGTTCTATAGTGACATTACCTAAATATCCCATGAGTTGCCTTGCATACTTGTAATATGGGATCAATTCAGGTTTCTTGACATCATAAACACTAAGGAGTTGATTTACCACCAATTTTGAATCACCGCAGACTCTAAGATGCAACTGCTTCATGTCTACAGCCGTTTCAAGACCGAAAATCAACGCCTGATATTCAGCCACATTGTTGGAACACCGGCGTGTTAAAGTGAAAGAGTATGGCAATATATCTGCTTCAGGAGTATAAAAGACAACTCCCGCACCAGCTCCATCACGGTGGGCAGCTCTATCGAAATACATTGACCGCGGCAATTCGACCATAAACACTTCTTCATCGGGAAGTTCATCAGTCAACTCCCACTCGGCAGGTAGGGGATGATCGGCTAAAAAGTCTGTCAATATTTGTTCTTTGACAGCCTTTGCAGGTACGTAAATAATTTCAAATTGTTGAAACTGGAGGTACCATCTCGCGAGTCGATAGATAGTACAGGTTTTGCCATGACATATTTAATGGGATTGGACTTAGATATGAGACGAATAGTATGTGCATGAAAATAATGCTTCAACTTCTGAATGATAAATATAAGTGCCAAACACAACTTCTCGATGGGTGCGTAGTTCAACTCATTAGATGTCATCATCCGGCTCAAGTAATACAGTGCATTCTCCTTACCTTCATCGTTTTCTTGAGCAAGTAAGGCCCCAACCGACCGTTCTTGAGCGGAAATATAGAGAATCAATGGTTTTCCGGAAATGGGCGCAGCCAGCACTGGGGGATTCATGAGATACGCCTTGATACTTGTAAAAACATTCTTACACGATTCATCCCACTCGAAGGGTACCCCTTTCTTCATCAGTCTACTAAAGGGTTGGCATCGCCCGGCCAAATTAGAGATAAACCTCCGGATATATGCCAACTTCCCTTGAAGGCTCTTCAATTCATGAATATTTCGCGGTTCAGGCATGTTCACAATGACATCAATTTTAGATCGATCGACTTCTATTCCCCGTTGATGAACGATGAAACCGAGAAATTTGCCAGAAGTGACTCCGAATGCGCACTTCAAAGGATTCATCTTTAATTGGTATCTCCGAAAGCGTTGGAAAACTCTTCGAAGGTCTTGAATATGATCCTCTCACTTCTTTGATTTCACCACAAGATCATCAACGTAGCACTCCACATTTCTATGGAGCATATCATCAAATATTCTTTGCATTGCCCTTTGATATGTCGCTCCAGTATTTTTCAAGCCAAACGGCATTATTTTATAGCAATAAATTCCCTTGGGGGTGCGGAAGGTAGTTAGCTCCTCATTCTCGGGCGCCATACGTATTTGGTTGTAGCCAGACGATCCATCGAGAAAAGATAGTGCTTCATGCCCGGTTGTAGCATTTACCATCAATTCTGTGATGGGGAGAGGAAAATCGTCTTTAGGGCAAGCCTCGTTTAAGTTTCGAAAGTCAACACAAACTCGAATTTGCCCATTCTTCTTCCTTACAGGGACGATGCTTGAAATCCATGTTGGATATTTTACTTCTCGTATGAATCCGGCTTCAATTAATTGATTTATTTCATTTTCTATCAGAGGAATCAATTCGGGCCGAAAACGCCTTTGCGTTTGCTTGACAGGTTTTGTTCCTCGCTTGACGGACAAATTATGAACGGCGACCCTTGGATCCAAACCAGGCATTTCTGAGTAATTCCAGGCAAAGACGTCCCTGAACTCGAGCAGCAAATCAACATACTCTTTTTCTTCTTCAGGAGTCATACAAGAGCTTATGTAAATCGGGCGAGGATCGTCGCTTGTGCCAAGGTTAATCTCTTTTAGCTCATCAACCGTATTTTTTACCCCTTGTTCAAGTTCAGCGGGAGCGTCATCTGCATCTTCTTCTTCTTCTTCAAGATCACTGATCGTAATATGGTGACAGGAAGCCGTACTTTCTTGACCCTGTTCTTCAAAAATGGTTTCAATTCTTACATTGAATAAGTCTCCATAGTGCATGAAGAAATTGGAGACTCGCTTTCTTGGTCTGTTCTTCTTTATTGGAGCGAGACTTTCTTCCCTGACAACTTGATACTCTTGTTTCTTACTGCTTAATCTCTCATAGATGGGCGACTTCAGATTTTTCAGCTGCGGGCCAAGTTTGTCAAACACAGAAGTACGTTTTGACTTATTTCCCAATCGGTCGGACACAGATCTCTTTCGGCTTGTGACCTCCATTTCTTCGTTCACATAGTTACAACTCGCTCTTTTGATCATTATACGAACAGGAGAGGGCGGTTGATAATCAAGACCCATCGATGAACTTTCAACATTATAACCCCTTTCTTTCAACATTTTTTGCGTAGGTGTCAATCCGTGAGTCCTCTCGCCAGTCACTTCAGGAGGGAGTTTGCCCAATGTATTCTTCTCATTTGGGTTATAACCCGCCTTAGCAAGAAGTCTATAGGCGTTTGGATCAAAACCTTCTTGAGTCCGATTAGTTGGTAGCGAGTAATGTTCCACTGCCGGTTCTTCTTTGGGACGAACAAACCCTTGCAAGCTCACCTTCTCAATTTTAACAGGCTCTATTTTGGTGAGCGGAACATTTAATGTGTCATTTCTGATAAAAGAAGACTGACCTTCTTCTCTCTTTGATCTTGGAGTATACCGCCAAATGGGTACTTTGGAATCTTGACTTTCTTCCCTTACCGATTCCTTTCTTTTTGCTTCTTTGTGAAGATAAAATTTGGCATCGACAAAGTGAGTTTCGGCTTCCGTGAAAGGTTTGTTATCGGCAATAACTTTCTTAACAATACCGTCTCGACAATATTTGAAACATTGATGCAGAGTCGATGGTATAATTTCATTCTCGTGAATCCAGGGTCTTCCCAAAAGCATGTTATAAGAGGTTTTGGCTTCAATGATATGAAATAACGCACTTGAAGACAGCTCACCAATGAGCAATTCAAGCCTTATGAGACCAATTGCTCTTTGCCCTCCTTGATTAAATCCTTGGATCATGAGGCAGCTCTGGGAGAGTTCATCACTTGAGATTCTTAACTCTTTCATAGCACGTACGGACATGATATTGACAGCAGATCCCCCATCAATGAGTACCCGACTCATCTTTTGTTCTCGAACATATGCACTAACAAACAAAGGTCGATTGTGGGTCTTGAACTCAACAGTTAAATCATTATCATAAAAAATGATGGTCGTTGCACAATCCACCGGTGGTTTATCATCGACTTTGAGTTTTTTCTCAAATTCAGTGCCAATTTGTGTGACTTGAGGATTTTCAACTTTGACGACATTACAAGAAGTGAAATCATCGGTATCGTCACTTAAATACCCCTTGGGTATAAATTCTCTCAGTGTCACGGGCTGCCGAACCTCTTGAATGCGCTGAAAATCTGAAGGAATTGGTTTTATGGCCACTCTCTTTTGTTTCTTTGTTGTATTTTGTCATTTCATCGTTACTTTTGGCTTTGTCGAATGAATGCTTTTCGAAAAGATGTACTTCTTTATTCTTGGCTTGCAAGTCTTCTTCCGAGTGACTAAAGTCCATCCTTCATTGTCATCTTCAATAACATCTTCAATTGAGGATTTTTCAAGCTCCTTGGACAAAGCGCTGCTTGTTGTGGATAAAACTTCTATCGGACAACACACAGACCCAAATATTATTGTTGTTTGGTTTGCCGATGCTTTATCCTCCTCAAGAAGGATTTTTCCTTGGCGGGCTAATTCCATAATTTTGTCCTTAAAGACATAGCATTTAGTGAGAGGGTGACCAATCAAGCGGTGATAACAGCAATAATTCGAATCATTGACTTGACCGGCTTCCTCCGGACGCTTCATGTCGGGAAGTTCAAGGAGCTTCTCCTTGAAAAGATCATCAAACATTCCTTGTAAGTCGGACTCAAGGAAAGGGTACTCCCTTTCTTGCATCTCTTTTAAAGTGGGTCTTCTTACTGATCTATTCTGGGAGGAATCTAATTTCTCAGTGATCTTTCGACTCATTTTGGTAGCAATTTTCATGGGAGCTGTGTTTATTGCCATGGACTCCTTATTATTGAATCTTGAAGGAGGCTTGCCCCCTTTTCTATTTTCTTGTCTTTCATTGTTTTGCCGAGGTGGCTGTACTCACGAAATTTGAATAGGAAGCCCATCAGTTGCATTGGCCGTGATGCTTAACTCCATGTCATGAGCACGAGTAGCTAATTCTTCAAATGTGGTTGGGCGTATACCCTGCAAAATGTAACTTAGGCTCCAATGCATTTCTCGAATGCACATTTCTATGGCAGAGGGTTCAGACAGCCTGTCCTTGCAGTTGAGACTTACACTTCTCCACCTATCAATGTAGTTGACCACAGGTTCATCCTTCCATTGACGAGTGCTAGTCAACTCCAGCATACTGACGGTTCTTCTAGTGCTGTAGAAGCGATTCAAGAACTCTTGTTCCAACTGTTCCCAACTGTCGATGGACCCCGGAGTGAGATCAGTGTACCAATCAAACGCGTTGCCCTTCAAGGATTGGACGAACTGTTTGACTAGCAGGTCACCATAGGTTCCAGTGTTATTGCAGGTTTCGACAAAATGGGCCACATGTTGTTTTGGACTGCCTTTCCCATCGAACTGTTGAAACTTAAGCGGTTGATATCCAGCAGGCATTGCTAGATTGTCAATTCTAGCAGTGTAGGGTTTGGAGTAGGTAAAACTCGATCTTGAACTATCCCTATTTTTGTCCTTGATCACGCCTTCAACAAGTTCCTTCAACTGTTCTACGGGGATAGTTCCCTCGGCGGTCACGTGTACTTCCTTCACCTTGTCTTTACCTTTAGATGAGAGATTTTTACGCTCTTGGTTCTCCTTAGAATTCATATGGCTTCCCTCAGGAGCGTGGTCCTTTTGGGTGAGCAGTTGAGCGATAAGAGCATCTTGGTCCTTGATGTGTTTCATCATGGTTTCCATCATCTTGGACATGTTCGAAACTTGTTCTTCGAGACTCAAAGTATTTGTCATCATGGCAGGCATTGCAGCAGAAGAAGCAGCAGAATCTTCAATACAAAATTTTGAATGAAGAGTTTCATGTGAATAGGCTGATCCAGTGCTTGATGAATCATCGTCATGCTTATAAAATTTGGGTTCGGATCCAATTTCGAGCATGGCAAGAGCCTTCTCAATCGAGGTGAAAACGTCTTGGACCCCCATCGTGGAGGAATAGCTCATTTGTGATGTTGGCCCGAAGACGGGAGTTGGCGCCGAGGATTCCATGCTACTTTGGGTGGAGGCCTTCGTCATACTCCTTGTCACGGGGCCAATAACGCGGGTATTGGTGGCAACGTGTGCAGCCTCCTGAACAGACTTAGCATCAGTAGCCTTGGAACGTGCAATCACGATTTTGTTGCTCTTTGGTGCCATTGGTGATAGACGTAGTTGAATATTCGAGGGGAAGAGATGGAAGGCAGAGATGGTCCCACCGGACGTGCCAAAAATTTGTACGCGATAAAAATTTCAAGTCTGCAAAACGACAAGAAAAAGAAATACACGACAAATATGTACTATATAAACTTAAAAAAAATATGTAGGTACAATCTCTGGAAGTTTCTCGAACTTATGGAGAGCTTCCTTCGATTCTTCTCCTCGAACACCAATTCAAGGGCTTCGCAGCTTGTTCTTGGATCAACCACCGACTCCTTCAAATCTTGATATGGAAGAATTGAAGGATTTGAAAATACTTGAAGGCTCAAGCCTTGATATGCGGAAGACTTGAGGAGCTTTGAGACCCAGACCTTCGTAGCTTGAAGCTTCAATACTTGAGTGTATGAGATGCTTCTTGATATCTCTGTGTATCTGTGTGTGTCCCTTGATTTGGTTGAAAGACCCCTATTTATAGCTATAGCAAGAGGTAGAGGTTGAGAACTTGTGTACTACCTTACTTGTCTTACAAGACGTGCAGTCATATTAGGACTGTGCCAGTCAAATATTATCTCTTCATTTTATATTTATTAATAAAGAGATAAGAAATTTATCGATTGGCCAAACTCGTGGGGACACGTGATATGGCGCCGTTTGACTGGCCAAGCTATTGCAGTATATAAGAGGTATATTTGGATTAAATAACTCTAAATATTATCCCTTTAATAAGAAATAAATATTTAGATATTTATCCAATGGACATGTGACATGATATGATCTGGTTGGTGGAGATATCCTTGCAATTTGAATTGATTTGGAACACCTCGCCTTGACACGTGGCAAAATATAATTGGTCATTTAATAACCAATTTTTCCAAGTGTACGTGCCATATGGCAATATCCGATTGGATAAAAATATTTTATAGACCAATGGTAACTTTTGGAATTTAATTAAAATTTCATTGTCTACAGATGGAAGTATAAATAGAAACCTGTATGGAGTTGTTACAGCAAATCAACCCAACGATTCATAATTGTATCCCACTTTATTATGCGACCATCAGAAATGCCCGTATACGGGCCACCACCATACCGATTAAAGGCAAGACTCTCAGGTCCGGTTGCGTCATAAATCGGAAAATTTTGAGAGTCCTTGATTTGACAACTAACAATTCCGGCATTATAGATCAATATAGCTATGAGAAGTAGGGTAGAGAAAGATGCAAACCAATGCTTAGAACCCATACTGAAGAAAGAATTGAAAGAATGGAATTTGCAGCAAGAAGCCGAATAAAGGTTTTTATTTTTGTTGTCTAAAATAGAGTAATGTTTTTCGAAGTAGTGTTGGAGAATTGTAGTAAATAACAAAACTAAACTAGACAAATGCAGAGACTTTGAGGCGTGAAAGCACTTTCCTTAAGGTGCCCAAGTACCCTTGTCAAAATTTTATATATCTTTCAATTCATATTCAAGTGTATGAGATATAAACTGAAATAACTTTCCCACCAAATTTTCCCTCCAAACTAATATTTTGGAACAAGTTTGTAAAGGAAACTAGACAATGATGCATATATAGACAATGAGCACTCTATCCTCTTTCAATGTGGGACAATGAACTTCAACATTCTTATTACAAACTATTACCAACAAGTAAAACAGTCGGGCTCTTCTTTATAAGCCTTGGAAACAATTTGATTCCATAAAGGAAACTGTAGAAATTTTTTTCTTTTATTGGTATACTTCGAATTCAAAAGGAAGTCTGTTAAAGGAATACCAAAAAGATTAAGGACCTTAACTTAGCATTTTTATAGGTGGTTTCCTCAATTCGAATAAAACTCTAATCAATTCAAATCTTCTATGCATAGGGGTCAAGTGGATCAACAAGGTAATCAATTGACATCAATAACCCCTCATATATATATATATATATATATATATATCAAAGAACTAAATTCCCTAAACAAACAACTCCCTTCAATAATTTTTAAATATTTTGCCAAGCTGTAAACAATTTATATTTGCACAAATATTGAAAATTTTTGTTTATATAATAGCTACACTTTATATGGATTAGGTGTTTTTTTGGAGTGTTTTTAAAAAACTTTATTGAAGCGGTGTATGTTAAAAACTTTCGACTATAGATGATCACGGTTGACTTAGGTATTTTTGGGATATATTTTGGGATATTTTTAAAATTTAAAATTTTATTGTGATATTTTTAAAAATTTGTAAAATATTTCCTACCACCCACCATCCTTCCCCTCTTCCCTCTTACACCGCCGCCACCTCCCTCTATTCCTCCACTGCCACCACCTCTTCCCCCTCCCTCCTCCCTCTTCATCTTCCATTTTTTTAACAAACGATAACATTTTTTAGATATTAATACTTGAAAATACAAGAGTTAATTACAAAAAGGGGTAACTACCCCCATATCTTTCCTAACTAGATCAGTTAGCCATGCTGGGAAAGAAGTATCCCAATCAATGTTTCTAATCACCTTGCTTGCAAACTGAGCCATTGCATGACTACACCTATTCGCAGTTCTGGGAATAAAAGAGAATAGGCAACTGTCAAAACTATTCTTTAGGGCCTCAATGTCCTCTAGAATTGTTTGTGACTTACAATTCTGAACATTACCCGCATTAATAGAGCTCACTACATTTTTGCAGTCAGACTGGACTTCTATATTTGCCCATCCTGCAACTTGAGCCATTTCCAGCGCACTTCGGATTGCTAATGATTCCTCTGTGGCAACTTTCTCTCTTCTCCTTCCACCGATCCCTTGAGCTTTCACTAGTTCTCCACACCAATTCCTTGCAACTATCCCCAGACCAGTCCTGACCATTTTGGCTGAAACTACTGCATCCGCATTAATCCTCACTACTCCCTTCTTGGACGGCTCCCAAACGTGCTGAACCAACTGTTCCCTCTCTGATGATGCAGTTGTTCAAGAGTCAGCTTCATTTGCCACGTCAAATTCGAGCCACTCCTGCTGAGCTTTGTCGATAATCAGTTTTGCATCCACACTCTCCAGTTGGAATACCCTCTGGTTCCTCGCCTTCCATAGCTGCCAGAGAATATTCACTGTTAGCTTGATGCGATCCATTCGTTGTATCTCCTTTGCTGAGTCCATCACAGCATCCCACCATCTCTACAAGTTGCCTTGTAGTTCAACTATCCCTTTCCATCTCACAGGAGCTAGCCTCTAAGCCACTTGAGCTTTTGGACAAAAGAAGAACACGTGTTCAATGGTTTCGGTAGCCTCTCCACAGCAGTGACAAAGATTGCTTCCTTTTCCTACTCTCTGATAGAGTGCTTCACTAGTAGCTAGTCCATTTTGCAAACACCTCCATAAAAAGTGCTTCAATTTCATCTTAATATTTAAGTTCCACAATCTTTTCCATACCGTATGCCTCCTAATTTCCTAGCTAGTCTCAGAGTCAGGTTCTGACCTGCGGATCATGGTGTCCCTTCCTCCTTTTGCAACAACATAACCTGTTTTAACTGTATATACCCCAGACTTGCTATGATCCCAATACAACCTGTCTTTCCTATCATAAGGACTAAGAGGTACACTAGTTATGAGCTCCATATCATTTGCATTAAACCAGAGCTGCAATTGATCAGTCTTCCACTTCCTCCCCTCTATTAACTCATGAACGAACTCTAGCTGACAGCCGTCTGGTCTTGTCGTGGCTATTTTCCCATGGATTGATCCAGGTAGCCACCTGTCATTCCAGATTTTTATTGTCCTTCCATCTCCCACCCTCTTGTATAAACCCTGTTGTAGTAGCTCTCCCCCATTGTTCATGCTTTTCCAGCACCAAGATGCTGTTTTCAGTGGCTTTTTGATCAGCCAGTCATCACTCTTCATGTACTTATCTTTCAGAACCTTGCTTACTAACAAATTAGGATTGGTAATGACTCTCCAAATTTGTTTTGCAAGCAAGGCAACATTGAAAGCTTCCAAATCTCTAAAGCCCAACCCCCCTTTCCCTTTAACTTCGGACAGCTTATTCCATCTAACCCAGTGCACCTTGTTTCCTAATTTCCCACCATCCCACCAGAACCTAGCAATAGTTGCACTAATACCCTTACACAAGCCTTTGGGGAGTTTAAAATAGGACATAACATATGTAGGCATGGACATAATGACAGATTTGATAAGGACCTCCTTACCCCCTGGACTAAACAGTTTATGTTTCCATCCTTGAAGCTTACTAGTGATTATACTTTTTAGGTACCCAAAAACCTGATTCTTAGTTCTCCCAATAGTCATAGGTAATCCTAAATATTTCCCACTAGAGGCTTTTTTCATGTTGTCCAAGACCTTGCTGATTTTTTTTCGAATCAAGTTGGGGGCATTCTTGGAGAAAAACATAGCAGATTTGTCAAAGTTTACTACCTGTCCCGTGGCCTGACCATATATCTGAATGATCTCCTTCACCTTCTAAGCCTCCTCCTTGCTTGCTTTGCAACACAAGGGTGAATCATCTGCAAAAAATAAATGAGAAACCATAGGGCTGTCTTTGCAGACTTTGATGCCAGTTAGTTGCTTATTTTCCACAGCTTTCTTGATTAAACTAGACAGCCCTTCCGTACATATAATGAACAAATAGGGAGATAAAGGATCTCCTTGTTGAATTCCTCTGGAAGGTTTGATATAGCCCACCTTTTGTCCATTCAAGTTAAAGGAATAAGAGACAGTGGAAATGCACGTCATGATCCAGGGAACAAAGGTAGGACAAAAACCCATATGCAACATTATTCTACCTAGGAATTTCCAATCCACTTTATCATAGGCTTTGGATATATCAAGCTTTTGTCATGAAGCCTACTCGACCATTTCTCTTGTTATGCAGAAAATGCAAAATTTCATGAGCAATGACGACATTGTCTAGAATTTGTCGGCCTAGGACAAAAGCAGATTGGGATGGGCTAACACAGTACTTTAAGACTTTTTTCATTCTATTGGCCAATATCTTAGAGATGATTTTATATATAACTGTGCAAAGACTAATAGGTCTGAAATTAGTAAGCACTACAGGATTTTCAACCTTAGGGATTAAGGAGATAATGGTCTCATTGATAGCTGTTAAAATATTGCCAGAATGGAAAAAACTAGTCACGACATTGACCACATCAGTTTTGATAATATGCCAGTAAGTTTGGAAAAATAATGGGGGCATACCATCAACTCCAGGAGCTTTATTAGGGAACATGGAAAAAATGGCTTGTTTGATCTCCAGCTCTGTCACTGGTCTAATCAACTGTATGTTCATGATACTGGAAATAGTGCAAGGTATGCCTTGCAACACTTCTTCAAATTTGGTTGGATCATTTGAATGGAACAGCTCCGTATAGTGCTTACTTAGTTCAGCTTCAATTTTCTCAACACTCTTACACCACTCCCCATTTGTCTTCTGGAGTATGCTGATATTGTTCCGTTTCCTATTATCCATCACACTTAGGTGGAAGTAAGTTGTGTTCTTGTCCCCCTCCTTGAGCTATCTGCTTCTTGACTTCTGGCTCCAATAAAGCTCTTCATCCTTGTAAGCTTTGCTGAGTTGTAGCTTCCAGGCTGTGATAGTTCCTTTATTACACCACTTATTCCTCTCACGTGCAGCCCTTAGCTGCTCCTTCAGCTCCTTAATTTTTTCCTTTGTGTTGCCTTTTATTGACCTGGTCCATTCAATTAGAGCCACTTGACACTCCTTAATTCTTCTCACCACTCTAAACATTCTAGACCCTTGCTGTTCCAGCCCCCAAGCCCTTTTAATAACTGCTACTGATGCCTCATTCTTTGCCTATCTTTGATCGAAGAAGAACCTTCTTTTGACTTTCCTTTACTGCGGGTTGGTATCCAACATTAGCAGGCAGTGATCAGAAGCCTCTGTTTCAATGTATTCCACTGTGGCATTCTCATATGTCTGCACCCACCCAACACTACCTAAGTATCGATCAAGCCTCTCTTTTATTTCTCCCTCCCCTTCCCATGTGTTACTCCATGTCCAAGAAACCCTCTTATACCCTATGTCCACCAACTCATTCCCTAAGATAAACCTATTGAACTCCCTAAAACTACCCTCTGATCGCTCTTTTCCTCCCCATTTCTCCCCATTTGAGTAAATGTCGTTAAAGTTTCCCACTGCTATCCATTTCTCACCCCATTCCTTCTTTTTTTCCCCTATGATCTCCCATTGCTGCACTCTTACCCTTTCATCCGTACTTGCATATATACCTACTAGCCACCAGTGATCCTTTGTCTCCTTGTTTATCACCCTTGGTGCAATATACTAATCAGTATTGTGTATATCGAACAATTGCACCCCCTCCTTCCAGAACAAAGCTATTCCCCCTATTCTACCCATAGGATTCATTACAAAACTGTGTTCAAACTTAATTCTTTTCAGCTGTTTCATGTAATTTTCTTTGTTTTTTGTCTCACATAAAAACACCATACTAGAAGAGTGGAGATGAAGTACCTCCTTAAGTTGGGGAATTGTCAAGGGGTCTCCTGCACTTCGACAATTCCACACCGCTACCTTCATTGTGTTGGTGGAGGCATTGTGGGGCTAGCCTCCATTTCCCCTCCTAGCTGAGCAGCATCCTGATCCCTTCTTAAGAGCTTGTTTTGTGGACCTTGTATTCTATCCTCTTCCATACAATCCAAGTCATGCCAATCTTCCTTTGTTTTCCTTTTCTTTCCCAGGTTGCTTACTGGCACTCTATTTGTAATGTCTCTCAATGGTACCCTTTTGGTACGTGAACTCCTCCTCCACTGACTTTTCCTTCCTTGAGTACTTCTGCTTCCCGGGTTTCGGCCTTTTACATCCACAGCTTCAGTCTCATTACTAGTCAAAACCCCTTTATCCAGCTTATCTATCCCCTCCCTACTCTCATTGCCATCTAATGCTATATCCTCTGCATGTTGATTTTCTTTCTCGGGCAAGTCAGTTCCCAGGTCCACTACTACATTCTGAATTTCAATATCTTCCCTTATTTTCATTCCACTTCCCTTCTTTTGTTTTCCCTCCACCTTACTCTCGTCTTCTAGTCTTCCTTTCAATTCTAAGTTCTCCCTCAAAACCTCTCCCCATTTTTCCTCAATTGCTATTTTCTTCTGGGCATCATCCCTAACATCCTTGTCACCCCCTCTTCTGCTTGGTCCAATCCTGACTCCGAATCCTTCCTCAGATGTCGTCCCAACCCTATTATTTGGTCCCTTGTTTACCAAAGCTACCTCTCTGGTTTTCTGACTCACCACTATGCCAGACATTGAACAAGCTTTCAAGGGGGAGGTCATGATGTTCCCTGCCCTCATCCAAGCTCCATATTGCCCTTCCCTACCTGACTGGCCCTCCCTTTTATCCCCAGTACATGATTTATCCCCATGCCCAATGATCTCACAATTGTAACAAAAGTCTGGGCATCTCTCATACCTAAATCCTACCCATGTATTCACTCCCTTAAACTTTACCAAAGTTCCTCTCGGGAGAGGTTGTTGCACATCCATCTCAGCCATTATCTTCATATGTCTCCCAGATTTCCCCCCCGGTGGAATAAGCACCTTCCTAATAGATTTAAATATCTTTCCTAGCTTAAAGCCCACTGATTTACACAGCCAATGGACTGGAAGATTCCATATTTGAACCCATAGGTGAGCAAATCTAAAGTGGTCGGACTTCCTTTCACACCCCTCCTCCCATTCCTTCATCACAAGGATCTGGTTGTCCATAATCCACTGTCCTCCCATCAGAATCTTTCCACGGTCCTCTTCCCTCTCCATCTGGAAGTGAAAAAGATTTGGACCCAGCTCAGTCACAGTCAAATTCCTGGGATATCCCCATATATGATTAGTGAAATTCTTAATGCCCGTGAAATTTGCAACCTTTTCACCAATCAACCTTCCAACCAGACTCTATCTACAATCTTGAATCCCCTCACGTATGTCATCAGAGCAGAGATCTACCCCTACCAGCTCCGACGCAGATAGTTCAAACTTGCTGAAGGCTCTTGCTAACTCTTCCTCCATTCTCCAGATTTCCAGTTGCAGCGGCGCTACCTTGCACTATTTCCTATCGTAGAAGTACCAGTTGAATAAACCTGCAAAATAGAGTGGAAGAAAACCAAAGACAGAGAGCCAAACTTCCTAATCTGTACTATCAAGCTCAAAAGAACCTACGAAAACACACACACACGCACACCAGCTCATCTAATCACTAGAACCATTTTTTTGTGGGTTTGATCCTTCAACTGTTCTCAAAATCATGATCTTTCCACAAACGAAACAGGGCTGCAACACGAAGGTTTGCTTATGGATGTGGATTTGGGTGTCTCGGACGTACGGAAGTTGAACAGGCACTATTTGTGGTTTTGCAATACCTACTGCACTTTCTATTTTTGGGTTGGCCCTTCTTTTAAATTTTGAAAGCTCCTACGTTGAGAAGAAAAGCTCTCAAACTAGAGGGAGAGGCTCTCAAAGTAGAGAGAGTTTTTTTTTTTATAGACATGCCCCTCCCTCTTCCTCTTCCAACCTTCCCCTTTTTCCTCCTCCTTCCCCTCCCCCTTCTTGATAACCCTCCATTTTCCTGATCTAGTTGCAGGTCGTGACCCACGACCAGTCATGGGCTGGGCCGTGACAGGTTGGGAAAAGGGAAGGTTGTAGGGAGAGGAGGGGAGGGGGTGGCAATGGTGAATGGAAGAAAAAGAAGTTATAGAGTGTTTTTTTTAAAGATGTATTTGAGATTGTGTGTAGTTAGAATGTTTTTGAAAGTGTTTTGAAGTATACTACTATACACTTCAAAAATAAAAATAAGTTTGTGGAAAACTCCACAATCCAAGCAGAGTGAATAAGATAAGAAATGCCAATTTCTCAGTTTTGACTTTTTAGTCTCTAAATGTTTTTCACTTTTAGTACCAGTTAATATTGACCTGAAATGCATAAATTTGTGTGAGGGAAAAAAATGCCAATAATAAGCATTGCATATAGCGGTTTTTGAAAATTAAGTGGGGGCAGATTGCCCCCTCTTGAACCTATGTGGCTCCGCGCCTGCCTTAAATTATGTGAAAATTCGTATGAGAGGACATTTTGGACCTAATTACCTAATATCATCTAAGATTTTTTTACGAAAAAGACTAGATTTTGAGATTTGTTATCCATATGCACAACTAGAATGTGAATCAATTTTGAAGACGTGCACTTTCAAAATCTACAAAAGGGGAAAAACAATCTCTAAAAAGTTGAAATGTAGTAAACAATGAAGTAGTACAAAAATG